GTCGATGAACAGAGAGTACTCTATTCTTCTGCTTACCGATGACATTTCTTATATCACATTACCAAAAATAAGAGTACTTGTTTTCTTTGAAATCTTGTAATAAGATCTTACGATATAATCTTACAAGATCTTGTCATAGATAATGTAAGATCTTATGGAAACTTGTAACTTCTTGTCGTAAGATCTCTCGAGATCTGATCATAAAAAGTGACAAGATCTTGTAAGATCTTATGACAAAAACTCATATGACCTTGTAAGGTCTTATACAACCTTGTGACAAGAAAATATATAGAAGTTACCCAGGTCAAAAAATCAGATCAAGATCTTATACGATCTTGTAAAATCTTGCGGAAAATCATAGAAACGGATTCATCTTATACAATCTTATAAAAATCATACAAGAATCTTACGAAATCTGATGAAATCTTACTATAAGATCTTACATCAAGAATCAGTTTCTACGTTTCTTACAAAATCTTATACATTCTTATACGAATCCTACGAAATCGGACGGAATCGTACAAGAATCTTATAAGATCTTACAGCAAGACTCTTTGACCTGGATATATTTACTGTGTATCGTCACAAAATGTATGTGGTATATCATGGTATACCACATACATTTTGTGACATTGTTCCACTCACGATCAAGGCGACTTTATACTGAACCTGATCGACATTGGATGTGCTTGATATGTGATTATGTCTACATATGAGGTAGAGTGTATAATTACATTTTTTAAATAGATATTGAACATGAACAGACCAATCTAATGATTTTTTGACCTGGGTGACTTCTATATATTTTCTTGTCACAAGGTTGTATAAGACCTTACAAGGTCATATGAGTTTTTGTCATAAGATCTTACAAGATCTTGTCACTTTTTATGATCAGATCTCGAGAGATCTTACGACAAGAAGTTACAAGTTTCCATAAGATCTTACATTATCTATGACAAGATCTTGTAAGATTATATCGTAAGATCTTATTACAAGATTTCAAAGAAAACAAGTACTCTTATTTTTGGTAATGTGATATAAGAAATGTCATCGGTAAGCAGAAGAATAGAGTACTTTCTGTTCATCGACAGGAGAACGGATGTGTTTGTCCCTTTACAATGGTGGCACGTCTTTAGTACATAAAGAAATGTTCAATATATCTTGTATAGAGAACTGAATGAGGTTGCTTTTACAAAAAAAGATTGATAGTTGACGATCAACCTTGATCGAGATATTGAGAAAATACTGAATGAGACAGGACTTCTGGGCCACCTTTTAATCAAGGTGAAATAATCGATGTCGTAATAATGGTAAACGTAATTTTGGAAAGCAAACATACAGTACTTATCTAATATCTGTCCCTCGTAACTTTTAATCAGCTAGCAATTATAGAGGACGCTTCGAATTTTGCATGACAGCACTTCCTGATTTCGACGATGAAGTCTCAAAAACAGGCCAAATTAGATGAAAATCGATTTGAAGTGCATGTTGAATATATGTGTAACACGTATGCAGACCGGATATGGAAGCAGCGAAACAGTTTCTTTGACGAAGGCTCAGTTTATTTTCGACATAGAGAGGTCAATTTGCGGTAAGAGTCAGTTTCATCCATTTTCTGTCACTCATTCTCTATATCTTCAATGGTAGTGTAAGCTATCCCTTTTTCCAAATAGATATTTTGGTTTTCTGATATAACACTAGTGATATGTTACTGCTATCAGCTTTCTTAATTTAATCTCCGTGCTCTTTAGACCATTCTTTTTTTACCGATATTTTAGATATAACTGGCAACAACGTTGATGTCTCTCGCACTGTTCGTCAATTGTTCCAATATCGAATCAAGTTAACAATCGGTGTTAGTAATACTACAAAGTCAAAAGTAACAACAAAAAGAACAGCGACAAAACCATTAGTTACCGATAAAATACTAAAATTTATTCCCACGTGGAATAGATATTGTTTCCAGTTAGTTTCCTACACAATTTTTTTTCGTTTGTAATTATTCTAGTTTTGTGCGAAATGAAGTTACAATTACAACTATATCAGGGATTGTTTCAATCAAGCGCAGCAACAGACATGTAACACGTTTGTCGTGCTGTTCGTCATACGTAATCTTCATGATATCAATCATTAGTGTCATGCTATATGTTGAATTGATCGGTCTATTGGCTTCTACATTTGTCAATTGAAAAACAAAAGATTCTACAAAGAATAACATTATCTGTATGGTGTATTTATTTTATTCACAAATAAATTATTAATCATACCTTTAATGAAACTACTCAACGTCGTCAAAGTCTATATATAAAGAATTAGAGCATTACAGCTTAAGAATAGTTAAAAATTGAGATGAACAGATTAGAATCTTAGAGATCAGAGGCCGAAATAAATCAGGTCGAATTAATTTTTTAATTTTCTACAAAATCAAGTTTTCATTCAAAATTGATAAAATATTACGTTCTGATGAATTTAGGTAATACAACTATTATGACAAGCACAAGAACAAGAGCAGGAAAACATCACTTTGAAACTTTTTCAAAAATTCGTTTGAGTTGCGTACATCAAATGCCACGTTCACAATTAGGATGAGGAAGCTTGGGGATTTCTCTACCGTAAAATATTTATCAGTATATCTGCCAATATTTATCTTCTCATCCCCATCGAAATTAAACAGAAACCTTTACTCAACAGTAGCGGTCTGTGAGACACTTAGGAAAAGTGACCATTGTCTCTTCATGTAGATGTGTTTTATTTTTATTGAAAATGTTTTATTGATTTCTTTATTTTTCTCAGAAAACGCAGAAAAACTTGTTTCTTAGTCGAACAGTGAGGCAGAGATGTTAGCACCCTGGATTTAATTTTTCCAACTAAAACATCAATTTAGTTGTGAGATTATTAAGAAAAACACACAGAAAACTCATTTACCTATAAATGCAATGAAGAGGTTTCAGTCATCTACAAGCTTTTCTGAGTTGATGAAAATCGAAGTTTAAAACTGCTTCGAAGAACATAAAATCGATATATAGTCAACCACTTGTTCGAGAGGTATTTCGAGTACTCGCCGTACCTCTCGAACAACTTTTTTCATCTGCATGGGTATTGCTTAATATATCTCATACATTCATCTGAAATTTTGACAGTTAAGGAACAAAAATTCGTTGATGGAGTATGCTTTATACATTGTTGTATGTACCCAGTCTTTATTTTCAAGAACTGAAAATCTGAATTTTCTAACTTTTTTTCTTTTAGATATTATTCAAATAACCAGATGAATTGTATTTATTAGGAGAGTCAATATAATGTTTTAACCAAGCACTTTCTAGATCTGAAAGACATCTCATATTGAACATTGTTAACATTTTCCTTTTATAGTTCGACTAACTATTTCTTTGAGTAATGAATCAACATAACCCGGAAATGAACTAAAATTTAAAGAAAAAGAATCCAATAAAAATGGAAGTAAATCGGTCCACTTTGTACTCGTTTTGCAGTACTCATACTCGTATCCTATATTTTTTTACGGGTACTCCGAAAAGTACTCTAGTACTTAAAAAAAATCTTAAGTAGACAGATTTACAGATAAAAATATATATGAGAATTCACGCACAACTAGTGTTGTGCGTGATTTCTGCCGATACAGTATAGGATGATTAATGTTTTTATATGAAAATAGGAAGGAAAGCGTGATTAGTCTTAAATTATCTTCCTAGATTAAAATAACATACGAGAAAGAATAACATTTATTATATCACATAACTTGAGTATTTTTCGTGAAATACTCGTACTTGTCTATCTTTGTTTAGTTCCAGTACAGTCAAATTACCATGTGAAATCACAATTCATATTTAATGCATATTAATGGTAGGAGCAGAGAGAGAGAGAGAGAGAACTAAAAAGGTGAATATTAATTTTAATTATTTATAAAACTAATTTTCTTCGTTGTTTGCCGCATTTGCAACTCTTGATATAAAATAATAAGTAGTTGTATTGCATGATAGAACTTTATCCAAGGAAAAGTAATGATAAATGGAGAAGACTAAAACAAACTGTCATTTCTTTTCGTACAAAAAAGAAAATGTAATTATTTTTGTTTTATTCAAGAAAATATTTAACGTAAATGTAACGTAAATTAAAAAATATAAGAAATGAACAAACATCTGAAACAATTAAAACTAGAACATAGTCAAATAAACCGGTATTTGCTAGCAATTAGCAAGAAAAAATATTTGTCATTCATTAAAAATATACAATAAAATTTTTTCAAATGACGAGAAAAAGAACAATAATTTTCATTTGTTATGTGTATTGCAAAACAGGATCTGTTGTATGTTACCTGTTGTCACAAACAATGAAAAACGATCTGCTAACACACATTTCAGACTTTAATAGTTGAAATATTAGATGTAAACGATCAAAAAGATTGAAAATGAGATCTTACTCCATTGTTGAACGAAAGCAGAAAACAAATATTTATATACATAGGTTGAGCAAAAACCATTTTGTGACGTACTTCTTAGTGTACTTTAAACTGGTTTTGATTTTTGTATAAAGGCAATTATATGCTAATCATTCTCTCTTATTCTACATGATAAAACATGTAACGTGAAGAAATAGAAGAAAAATAAATGAAAGACGGAATTCAATACCATTTTTTTAACCATTGGCTACCAGGACGAAAATCAATTGGATTCAAAAGTTGTCGTTGACATTCTACAAAAAACAAAAAAAAAAATTTTTCATTCATCATGTTAAAATAATACTCGCAGAGAAACTGATGAACGTTGACATCATGGATTGTCTCTCTCTCATAGGTTTTTTTCATATAAAAAAATACGTTCTTTAGTAATTTTGATATCTTAGAAAATAAGAAAATTGAGATTTTTCTATGCTCAAGCGAACTGAAGTAAAATAATGGTGAATAATGTCGGTTATTACGTTCTCACCTTTTACTTGTGTTTCGATTTGAATCAGTTTGAGATAAATGGAGTACAACGTAGTATTTAACGTGGGGCATATAATCCTAATTTGGAACCATTCATAGCCACATTTTCATTAAACGATCGTGATGGAAATGGATTAAATGAAGTGTAACGTGGTCCAATTCGATTCATTTTCTGTAAATGAGCAATTTTTGGTCCGTTGCATTTTTTCGTCGTGTAAATATTAGGATTTTTGTTGTTGGATTTGAGTGACGTTTGTATCGTTCCAGAATCATATAATGTAAATGCAATACTTTCTGGACGACTCTTAAGTTCATTGTCTGTTGCGTTATTTTCATCGTTGATACCTTGTTTTGTAGCAATTATAGTTTCAGATTTTCCAATAATAGGCTTTTCTAGGTTTAAACTGGTCATTAATTGTTCTATTTCAATTTGAATATCGGCTTCATCTTCAGCCACTTCTTCTTTTGTTGATATTTGTTTAATCTCGTGTTCGCTCGTTTCTACTAATGGTTTATTAAATAATGTCTGTCTTGGTGAGTCTTCAATACAATTGACTCGTGTATTATGAGCGATGGAGACAGGAGATTTAATTGAAGATTTTTTTTTGTACATATTCCTTTTAGGATCAGCCACTTTCAATAAAAGATGATTAACCTACAAGAAGATAAACGGAAATAAATAGAGAATAAGGTAAGATTTTGTCACTTACCAATGGGCCGCTTGTGATTGGGTAGACGGTAGAATGTTGTTTTGTCAGTGATGATGTGTTTTTATTATTTGATATATTGGAAGAAGATAGTATAACGTTTGATAAGGCCACAGTTGATCTATCATCCGTTTGACCCAATCGTCGAGGATCATTCGGATGCAAAGTGGACATTTGAGAACGATTTCGTTGTTCAGCAGAAGCAGCTGAAATAAACATAAACATACTGTTGTAAAAAATTATCAATATCCAAAGTATCATAAAGTTAAGTTTCGTAATTTTAAATAAAAATCTATTTATTGAATTTCAAGAGGAACATCTGGTAATGAATCGAAAATAAGTCAAGAACAACGTCAGAAATGATTATAACAATTGTTATTTACTTTGCATAATAATTTGAGCTTGTTTTTGTCTCTCGCGTAACTTCTTATATTGTTTACATAATTGACCTATATCAAGTTCAACTGAATTCGTTCTGTGTATTTCGAGAGTGTTTGAGTAAGTGTCAGGCGTCACGCGAGATAAAACAGCACCATTATCATTGACTGAATTCGATGTTGATTGTTCAGATGAATTATATTCAACTATAATTAACGAACATCATGTTTTACTAGATGATTAATCAAACTTTATTTACGTACATCTGTTTCGTGACGGCGAAGCTAATATTGAAAAACATGACATGAAATTGGCAATTTCTTCATTGGGTGTTGATTCTTCATCTGTACTATGATTCTGAATGTCGTTCAATAATCGATGAATTATAGTAGACGGTTTGTTATCAAAATGCTAGTAAATAAATATTCAGCGATAAATTAGTTATTTGGCAACATTCAATACGCTTACTTTGGTAGATAAACCGTTGGTATTCATTATAGTTTTTCCATCTTTTCTTTGTGATTTCGTTGAAGAACGATCAGTGACGTTATCAGACGTCGTCAGCTGTTGAAATGGTGTTATGCTAAGAGAAAACTTTTGCCTCAAATCTTGAAGAATAGTGGTTGGAAACGGTCCAAAAGCATAAATATCCTTAACAAAAAAGACGATTAACAATTTAGTATCACAGTAGACTTAGACTGTAGTAAGACGTACTCGAATTAAACTATCAGCATCGACTATTTTTTCATCCAGTAGCTGTACGGATAATAATCCCATTATACTATAAAACTGATCGGCTGAATGTTGTTTAAGAACGGAACTGAATGTACAAAAAAAATTTGTCATTTCTTGTTCCTCATCAGGCAATAAATCAAACTTACGTGGCTAATTTAGACCATATAACAAGACCCGTGCGAAACAAAATTTCACTGCCTTCAAGTAATAATGCATCCCACACACGTAATGTAGCTCGTCGTGGTAAACATGTGGCAAACAGCGTTAAAAACCATTGTATTGTGAAAACATTAAGAAGAGGAGGTTCATAAATTGTTCCTAATAAAATATCGATAAAAATAAATTAATATCGAAGTTACAGATCATAAACGTTAAACAAATTGAAAAATATAAATGACCGAAACATCAGCTAGACTGTAAGAAATGCATACAGAGACACATTTATCGTTACAAATGGTTTATGAACTTGAACTGTAGTAATTAAATATTCTTTCTTCTCCGTTTATATTTGTCGTTATAAAAGAAGGGTTAGTTTTACCTGTCGCATCTTTGGATGACATTTGCAATTCGTGCAAATGATTATGCAGTTCTATATTGTAAATACGTAGCCATTCCCCAAATACGGCCATATCAATCGCTAATGCTTGTAAATTATTTGTAAAAAAGCCATTCGGTAATATTTTCTCCACCAAATAAATGAGAACCATCAGAGCATCTTCTTCATTTTTATCAACCACTTGTAGTATGACAGCCGTCAAAATATTCAAACCTTGACAATATCCAATCGATTTGTTGTATCTTGCAAATGCTAGCAATACTCGCTTAAGTGTTGAACGATCACCTTCATTATCTGACCAAGAGCAACCCGTACGATGGAGATCCTAACAAAAGCAAAATTTTCAATACCGTAAACTGGTAACTGGTTTTAGACACTCACTTTGACAATTTGTATTCCAAGTTCATCATCATCGGAACTGGTACAATTATTAAACGCAAAACTTTGTATTTTGTTCCAATCAAGACATATTTCACGGATGTAATTCGAAGCTAACGATATCCAGAGCTGAAAAGAATTTAATTTTTATGTGATAGTTCATCTTGAATTGAAAAAATACCTTTTGTCGAATAGGAGGTAATATTCCATTAGGCATACGGGTTGCAATGCATATTGTATCTCTCCATTGTTGAAATCCGTTCTCAACTGGCACTGGAGTCAAATCAAACTTCATTTGTGTGTCTTTGCCTAATAAATGATAAATTAATTCTGAATAATTTTACATGAAATCAAATTATACGCCATAAAATTCAAACGGATTGTAGGAAGCAATCTTCTGAACGTACGAAGTTGGTAAAGTCATCATTTTCTCAAAAACTTCCTTTAAACTTTGCTTACTCCTAGTTTTTGAATAAATATAAAATACACTATCTGAAATGATTAATTTTAAGGTTATCACTAGTTCTGATTGATTTTTTAAATCTTATCTTCATGCAGAAAAATGTCTCAAAAAAGGGAATATTCTTCACATTTGCGGTATATCTGGTAATTCTTTGTCTACTTTTTTGATAGTATTAGTGTAGAGAAAGTCATTAATAAATGGTCGATATCGCATAGATCTATCCTAAATACGACGGATGTAATGAGGGCTGAGCTTTTTTCTTATAATTTTCTACCAAAATAAAGGTGTTATGATACGTGGTACCGTCTAACCAACTTCTCTTCGTATTCACAAGTAGAAAAATAAGAAATTGTACATTAATTCAATTGGTTAATTCCTTTCATTTATAGACTTCGAGCTTTGGGACCGAGTATTATGCACAGAATATTATATACATCTCTCGTTTCATTAAGAAAGCTGTACCAGAACTATAGTTTTCCCTGACAGATAGCAGCCGAAAATAAATTGCATCTTTCACCAGTGCTGATAAATCCGTGGTAGCTCATGAATACGCAAAAATGAACTATTAGTTTATTGCGCTATTGTATCTGATGGGGTCCTGTCGTTATAATGTATTGCTACTATACCGTTGTTCACTCAAACTTTAACGAAAACCGTAAAAAGTTGGATAAAATTGGAAAAAAAATCGGCTTTCAATATTGACAATAGTTAGAGTATAACTTACTATTTAACAATCTCAAGTGGTATGCATCATGACAGTTACAAAAATATATCCTATTTTTGTTACCACTTCTAGTTTTGTATCAATGATTATCGCATTGCATGACCTCTTTTTCTTCTTCATCCACTCAACATCACATTTTAGTTTTGTTTTCTTTCTTTTTTCGCCCAAAATAGAACTTCATCTTATTCAATCAACTATATTTTCGAGTAGCTATAATAAATATTTAAGGACAATAATAAAAAGAAAAACAGAGAAAAAGAGAATTCCATCGCTGAAAGGAACAACTTTTTCCCCGACATATACTATTTTTTTTAGACAATAGAGCGAAAAATTTTCTTTCTTCTTATATGCTCTTAGACATGTTTCACTATTGTTCATTAATTTTTTCGTTTCCTTCTCCTACTATATGATAAACGTAGGTGGTTTTCTATAATTCTATAGTTCAGGTGAAATATGCCCACTCAAAAATGTTCGATGTAGAAAAAAAACATTTTTCTTCATATGTGTTGACGTCAGAACATCATATAGTAGGCGTTTTGTCTTTATTTTATATTCTTTCATCATAAACTTCATTCTCATACTTCTTAAAAAACAAGATAAAATTCTACATCTTTTTCGAAGATAATAGCCGCTAGAAACAGTCTAAATTATTTGTAATACTCCATATAATCCATTGTAGAAAATGGAAGTTATTTTACGCTACATTATTTGTGCGCAATTTAATTATTCATATAGCAATCACAATAAAATATTGATGGCATGCATCATGTCTAATCACATTACTATAGTTTTGACTCATAAAAAATGTCATAGATAATCATGTTCTTTTTTTTGACAGTTTGTAATAGGTTTAACGGTACAGGCAATTCACTCACAAGAATGCGAGCACGAGGATGAATAAAGACCATTATGCACTACAAAGTTATCAGATTTTTCACACCTTTGATATCCTTCCTCAGGTACTCCAGAACAAAGTTATAACCGAATCGGTCGATTGACCGGTAATTGATCCGATCCGATTAACCCTTTACCTACCAAGGGCTCATCCATGATCCATTCGTGGAATTATTTTAAAAATGTAATGAAGTGCCAAAACGTGATGGAAAACTAAATCTTCTTTTATCAATCCATAGCTTATGGATTTATCTTGCTCTCAAAGGTGATCAGATTTTTATCACATGCTTCATTATCTTTTTATAATAATTCTATGAATCAGTCATGATGACCCCTTGGTAGGTAAAGGGTTAAGTTTTTCAATTAGTCAATATTTACCGATTTATTTTTTGAAAAAAAGTTTTTTTTCAGCTGTTTTTTCGTCCAAAAAAACATGAAAAACATCGAAAAGATTTCATATTCGCATCTATATAATTATATGTAGAAATTATCCGATTAAAAAATCTGGATCTTCTATTAAAACAACGTATGTTATAACTATGAGGAGACTTTATAATATGACCTAGAAAAAAGAGAATTTTCTAATTGTAATCAGTACAAAACTTAAAATAACTTTGTACTTGAAACACCGATTTTTTTACCGATCTGATCCGATTCCAATTTTTCACTTGGTTACAACTCTACTCCAGAACTGACATTAAATAATCTGTACAATGTCTGTTAAATGTATGCCAAAAAACTAGCTTTTAACATCTAGATAACTGTGCGGAATTGCCAATTAACAGTCAGTTTTGTCCGACTGTTGATTACGATCCGAGAAAAGTAATTTAACATACAACAAAATGTTGAAAAAACGGAAATTAATAGTCACTGCTTACTGTCGAGTTTTTGACTGTTATGATGGCAAAATACATGCATTTAACTGTGCATCCTAAAATGTAAAATAAATGCCACAGTTAAATGGCTGCTAACAAGCCATTCTTCCATAACAAAATGACAGTAGAAAAATTGACATTTACAACTGGCTGTTTCATTCACCTTTCTATCTTGTCATCAGGACCGATATATAAACGATACTAAAATTTTCTAAAATTCACTGAACTTCTAAAGGTACTGAAAGTTGTTATACCGAGGAAGTAGTCGCCATTGATCCTGGATCTGTTTCGAGTGATGGCACTGCGGACCTGAAAAACCAAAAAATACTAACTCTGTTTGAGAGTATTCATCGAAAAGAGATTAATCAGAGAAAAGTCGAAATAATTGAGCATTAAGGCCCCCCGTCAGAAACATATATTATTTTATTAAAAGCCGATATTGAGCTAACCACATCATCGAATAGCCCACAGTATCTACTATCAGAATCCAATGTTATTTGGTCCTCATCGAAGAGGTATAGAGGTTTTTAGAAAAGCTTTCTGAAAACCTTGAAAAATGGCTTTTAGAAAAAGTTTTACTTTTCGATTAAAAAAGCTAATCAAAAATTACTTTTAGTATTTAAGAAGATAGAACAAACATTTCTGATAAAAATGAGATATTTCCCAGCTCTGAATGATGTTCTAATCAAGAGTTATGAGAATTTTGCCGGAAGCCCTAAAACATGTATCAGATACTGGCGCCACCATATGTCTAAAGCGACTTTCATCTTAACAGCATTTCGTAGCTCCAACATTTCTCGGTAATGCAACATCGCAGAGAGCTCGGAAAGGTTTGAAATTAAAGCCGACACGTGTAACTAGAGGCTAATAGAGCCCTATTTTTGATATTCTGTCTAGATTTATGATTAGAAAAACATCTTTACCAAAGGGGAGAGGGGAGGGCCTTAACAATGCAAAAACAGTCATTAAATAATACTATTAACTACATGGTTTCAGATAGTTTTTACCCGTTAAAAAAATGCCACTTTTAGCCATTAATACATTCTCAATTAAAATGTCTCAAAACAGTGAAAAAATTATGTCAGTTGGCTAGAAAATGTCACTTGACGACAAGTTAATGATCCGTTTAAAAAGCATTCAGTAGAGCTTTAATGCGACTGTTTTCGACGTCCTGGGTCAGGAATCTTCAGAATTCTTTTCTCTGACATTGTCACTTAACCTGTTCGAACATACTGTCCTTTCTCATGTTTGGTCTGCACCCGAAATCCAGATACTCTTAGCAAAAGTCTCTTAGCCATTTCGGAATAGCGGAATGCCACTCTAGAATGGTGGACTATCATTCTGGAATAATAGAAAATTTTTCAATTTTGGTCTAAATCTTGGTCTACATACAGTTAAGCTCGGCTTCTGAAAAATAGAATGCCAGAAGGGCATCCTAGAATGGACGTATCCCGGAACGGATACATTTGTCTTTTAATGCTTTTCCCCCCTTGGTTTCTTGTGAAGTTCTTACTTGAAAACATTTTCTTGAGTGTCTGAAAATCGCTAGACTTTGCTTTGAAAGTTGATCTGTGTCAGTCCTTTATCAAGAAAAATTTGAAAAAAACAGTTCAGGTTTCTAACCTGAGACCGCCGTCATCATAAGGTGTGCTCTTACTAACTGAGCTGTAACGACTACAGTTATGAAAGATCACTTTGAGATTATATTCTAATAATATAATTTTTTGACTAGCTAAATCATATAAAAGGGAAGAGTTATGCCACACCACATGAGAGTGTCTACTTTTCCGAAAATAGAACGACTTTCGTTTCTACATCAGCTCGTCGCCGAACACACGTTTTTGGCGTGTTTTGCCGAGTAAAATGGAACCTTTTACTTGTTGTTGTTTACTTGTTTTCTAAAACAATATAAGATTAACTCTTTCAAAAAGTTTTGAGTAAAATGTAATACTGTTACTACAAAATAGTTATTAGAACCTGATAAAGATCAGATAAGATTCTTGCAAGAAGTTTGTTAGAAAATAGATAAAAATCACATAACGGTACTTATCACTTTCTTGTGAAACTCTTATCAGACTCTTATAGGGCTCGTGTAGAGTTTGAACTTTGGATTTTTCTGCAGAATCTTGTTTAAGAATCTGCTAAGAGTTTGACAAGATTCGTATAAGATTTGTTAAAAGATTTTCGTTATGGTAGACCATAACTTTGGTAGTAAAAAGTTTTTCTTAAAATCCTTTACTATTGTGCAGTAGTTAATAAGATTTTTAAAAAATTACTTATCGCTTTGTGATTTTTCTCAATGAGAAAATAATATTTTAGTTTATAAATTTCCAGCTTAATAACAGAATACAAGCTATTACATACTTTGATTTACTACAGGTAGTTCTCTGCTTGCTTAACTTCCATTCGCCTCAGACAATTTGTTGTTAGTTGATGGACATTTCTGTGCATCGTATTGTTCTTTTCTTTTGGTATACTCATCTGTTTCACTCTAAATTGAACTATTCGTCGATTAATAAGATGATGAGCATACCAATAAAAGTGAACGATCTGTGCCAACTGGATGATTCACTGTCACCAAAATGTGTATTATTGATTTCTACAAAATAAAAACATGTTTCATATACATCATTCGATGATAAATGATTGAACATGGATGGTAACATAAACTTGATCAAACCTATCAAGCTATATTATTGATGAAAGAAGCGACGATAGGAATGTTTACGCATGTGTCTCTGAGTATGATAATTCTCGATATTGTTTACAACAACTTTACTGAAGACACTTGAATGCTGGATGGTACTTACATTTGTCTAAAAATGTATCAGAACAGTTACGCTTCAAACTTTCCTGAGCTACATGAAGTTACCGAGCACAGGCAGAAAATTTGGGATTTTTTCTTTCTTTTGGCATGTAGTTGAATAAAAGACATTAAAATGTAAAATCAATTGTTAACACAATTCTAAAACGTGATCTAAAATACGTTTATCGTGTAAAATGTATTACAACATGTTAATACATCTGACAAGTTCCTAGATAACTTCTTCTTTCATACTCTCGAAAACTCTTGATGTACGTACGCATGCGAGTGCAAAAATCAACGAAAAGTCCATTATGATGGTTCTTGTTGAGAAAGTAAGTCTAAAATCATGATAATCTTTATGTGAAAGTTTTCCCATTCTGGTCCTAATGTATGAAAGTTAGAACCAAAACTGATTACTAATGCATGACTATTCTAATTTCTTTAATCTTTTGTTTTTGTAATACTCTCATCAGAAAAATTTTAGTTTGAAAAACCAATATAATTTTCGATTATTGTCATAAATATAGCAGTAATACAAAAGTAAAATCATAAAAAAAGTGAACATGGTGGAGCATTTAAAATAAGACTAGAGTTAAAAACAATAAAAAAATGGGTTTTCTTTCCTTTACTAGAAATAAATAAAAAACATAAAGTAATAAAAACTGTTAGTATAAAAAAAAATATTCACAACAGCAAGAAACGAAGAATAAACAAATTTTAAAATTAAACTGAGATTTTTCAACTATAAATTCGGTATGATTTGATATCAACACTGAAAAGAAAGCATTTCACTATATATCAGTGTTTTTCAGACTTATCTACTAAGAATTTTAAATGACCGTTTCTCTGTAACCATGCATTTGTAAAAATGCATCGATTGTTGTTGTTTCTATATCCATCAGGGCTTTTGGTAAAAAGCCGATTTGTCCATTATGTTTCCGTACAAGAAAACATGCTTTACTCACTTGTTTAAGAAGACAAACATAATCACCACGTTTAACCGAGAAACTTGATCGTGGATTACGGTAGTCTTTTAATATTTTGATTAAATCGTTTTTTTGTTGAACGTGCGATGTTTTTTCTTGGCTGATTCTATTTTTATTCATAATCATCATTTTTAGTAATAATTGAGTCTGATCTGATTTTTTTGTTCGATAAGTAGGTATTGGATTTAGAGAATCTTTTTCTATTTCGTCAATGTTTAATTCGCTAAATTGATCACATATATCACTCATTGTCCGAATAAATGGACGTGGCCCAAACGTTGTGGAACTTGATTTATTATTCTTATCCAAAATAATATTATCGTATGTTGACTGTGTTAAACTAATATTATCTATCAATGATTTATTCAGGCTACTACTATTATTATTATTACCATCATTATTTAATGAAACATCGCATGACAAACGGCGTTTTGGATCGCGTTTTAGAATTAAACTTGATTTTTTATTGATGATAGCGGATGCATCATCGGTATTTTTAAGTAATGCCAACGAGGAAGAAGTCGAACTCGTTGCAGACAGTGACGATGAAAGAGATAATTGGTGATCGACGGGCGAGTGTCCTTCGCTTGATGCACGTTTATTCTGTTTTGGTTTAACTGGCCGAAATGCACTAAATGAACTACCAAACTGATATGAAGATGATAATAACGTAGTTGCCGTTGGTTTCGATTGTCGATGTTTTGATATAGCAATTACTTTTTCAATTGTTGCTTGTTGTCGATGATGATTAAGAATTATTTTTGTTGGTATTTGATCATGACTTTTTGGCATTGTTAAACATACGTTAGAACGATTATTTCTATGTACCGATTTTTGTCCATCCTGTGGATAATTGTTAATCATGTCTTCTAAACGATTTAAACTTTGTGTAAGTGTTGAAGCATCGTTTTTTACCGGTAAACGATGTTGATTAGAGTATATTTCTAAACGAGGAGCAACTTGTAGATATTTATTGTTAACGGTTCTTAAATGGGTCATTTCAGATTCATGTGGTTTGAGCACAGAATCGACAGATGATTTACGTGTATATTGACGCTCACCATTACCATCAATCGAAGATTTGACGTTATCCTTCAGCTGAAATGTACCAAAAGAATGTCGTTTATTAACGACAGTACTTTTATCAGAGTGATTGTTTAAAGAAACGGTATCGGTTAAAGTATGACGTTTACTTCTTCGTAAACGGTACGAATTATTATGATCTATTTTATTTGAAGAAGGAAATGTGCACGGTACGATATTCAAAGAACCGATTGGTTTTGAATTTTTAGACGATGCATCATAAAGAGTTGTATGTTGCTGTTGTTGTTGGAGATCATAGTTGTTGATAATATTCTAAATTATTTAAACAGTACAGAAAATCTTGGATATTTTTAAGAAATTTTAGTTTTACCTGTGGTGATGATTGTGGCAAATTGTTGTGTTTGAATTGTTGACAGTTACTTCTATCTACGAGAAAGTATGGCTCTGAAAATCCTGAATCTTGAGTACTTGACGAATCGGTATCACGTGGTTGTATAGGTAGCTGAGATGGATGTTGCTGTGCATTAATTAGTTCTAGATTAGATTTTTTCTGTTCAATTTCCTGAGCTCCAGCTGTCTCGCAGCGTTTATCATAATTTTTAACTAGATATTGTTGTTGTGTGTTTTCAGTAACAGGCACGGTGGTGCAGTTTAACGAAAATAATGATGAAGCGATTGCTGAACGATGAGTATTCGTTTGTTTATTTGAAAAACTGCATGTATTTTTACATCGTTCAACATTGTCGATATCTTGCTGATTTCGATTAATAAAATTTTCACCATTTGATAATACGCTCGTTTTTGGTGATTGGGATTTATTTAGTAACGACGAACTTCTCGAAATATGACGATTTATATCACAATTACCGATCATCATATCATAACCATTTTCATTTAATAATTGTCGTTTTGAAATAGTTGCTATTTTCTGACGATGAGACTGTTTTGATCGTATATCACCATAGATTGAGGATAAAGATGTTGTTGGGCAGTAATTTGTTTGTCGCTGATGATTATGTTGTTGAGTTTTATCTGTCGATACGGTTGTTAAATCAAGAACATCATTATCACTCGATTCATCCGTAGTTAAATGCATTCTTCCTCTAGATGATATTGTCGAAGTCAATGATGAAGTCCTAGTGGATGGTGTTGAAGACAAAGAACAATGATTTAAAGAATTTGGATTATTACGTGTGTAAGAATTTCTTAAGCGATTTGAATACAATGAGCATATCATTCGCGGTATATAACTGATTTCACCATTTGCGGTTTTTATGCATAGCCATGGGCCACGAGAATACAAGGCAGTGACATACGAATCTAAAATAGACATCAATCAAAGTTAGAAAAGAGAGATCTCTATAAAACTTCAAGAAAATTTCTACTCCTTATTAATTTTAAACAGTTAGTGTTTGAACACGAGAGAGAGAGAGTATTAGTCTTTCTAATGTAATAAATCAACGGCTAAACCAATTACTCTCTAACAATATGTCAAACTTGAGAGGTTTTCTTCTGAGTGAAGTACATACATTGCTCTCTCAAGTTGATAAAGAATTTATTGTAATGGAACTAATTTTTCATTTAACCATGAGATAACTATGAAATGCAGAACTCGACAGAAGTTTAAATAATATAAGAGAGAAAATTGAGAAGAAAAAAGAAAGAAAAGAAAAGCCTTTTTTGTTTAGTCTCCACCCAATAACGTCTGTTTGATAGGGTCTATGTGTAATTATCAGAATTCAAGAGCATTTCTTTTTCGTTTAGTAGAATATTGATATTTTAACACATTAAATAAGGGATTTTTTTTTCTTTTTTACTTCATTTCAAACAACTCCCGCTTTCTTCAACAACTGAAACTAAATAAGTACAATTATCAAATGTATACTCATTAAATTTGAAAATCTAACTCGATATAGCGCCTGTGAAAGAATCTTGTTGTTAAACAAATTTTTTCACTTTTTAACAGTACAACATGCCTCTCTCTGAAATATAATTCTTTATCATTTTCATTCTTGAATATTTCATTAATTACGGACAGTTCTATATTACCTTTTCTAATGCGTATCTGTTTTTGAGATTGTAAAAATGGTTCAAAATTTTTTCGAACTAATACTCTTAGATTAGCCGGATTCATTTTTGTATGACCATGTAGAATATTTTCTATTGAATCATTTTGTTTTGAATAAATTTTTTGATTTTCTACTATTTGTGTAACCGGTGGTGATGTTGACATTGTCGATTTTTCTATTTCATCTACTGAATGACATGATCTATACGAAGATGTACGATTTAAAACACTTTGACTCATGTATCCAGAATCATCACCGGTTGTATAAATTGATGATGTATGAATAGCCGAATTCTAAAATAAAATCATTTCTTAGAAAACATAATATTACTATAGAATAATAAAAATTTTTAGTAAAATCGCTGATTGAATGAATCACTCTAAACTGTACCTATTAAATACTTCTTAAATATAACAGTAATTCTCTTTCTGAATATGCGAATATGTATTATATTACCTGTTAATAATAATAATATTAATAGTTATATTCAAATTATTTATCTACGATAAAAAACCTTGATCATATAAATGCATACATAAAATTAAAATGAAATAGGTCATGAAGGACAAATATGTAGAATCTAGTACTAAATAGAGGAAAAAGAATGATATTTGATTTGAAAAACTTGTTCAACTGAAACTACAAAAAAAAAAAAAAATCCAAAACGGTATAAATAAATGGAAGTCAAGGTTAGTATTGGATTGAACATGATTATCTACAATATATCATATTCATATATACACGAATAGATTTATTGACCTTGTTATAACCCTGGTTGCGCCAGAAGCTCATTATTATATCTTTTATGTAAAGCATCATTGAAACAGCTTTCACTTTTGAGTAACTCTTTATTCTTTTTCTTCAACAATTATCATTTACTCTTTATCATATAAAGTAATAGAAGTCAGATAGAGAAACTTTGATACTACTGAAATTAGTTTCTCTGATATTTTTGTCTCGTATATGTTAGTATCAGTATAACTAGAAAATGAATATTAAACATTAAGAAATGGAATACAGAAAATTGAATGAGTCATTTGGGATATATTGAGAGATTCAGATGTCTTTTTTCACTATTGAAAATTTATGGTAGTTTAAATATATTGCAAACTTTGTCTATTTATTATTGTGTGTAAATATTTTTAAATTAATATTAATAATTAATGTTTTACTACTAAAATAGATTATAAAAAATGTAGAAAAAAAAGAACAACTTTTTTGAGTATAAAAGGAATAAATCTACTACAAAATGTTGATACTAGTTTACCTTACTCAACTTATTCTCAATAAAAAATATAAATTAATAATGTATGATGGGGATCATTAAAGAGGCTTAATCAATATAATTTATTCTCTAATATAGAATAGAACAGGAAATATGTGTGTGTGTCTGTCTGTCTGTCTGTGTGTGTGTGTTTACGTATGAATTCTTTTTATCAGGATTATCTTTTATTTTGATTTTTGATTATTAATCATTGACATTTGTTTTCAAAATATAAATAAAATACATTTTTACAGAAATTCAAAATTTAAGTAATTATGAATCAATCATTAGGTATGGTTTATGAATAATTCTATACATCAAACATATTTTTTTTCTCTGTATGATTATTAAAATGAGATATATCTTGCATCAATGAATAAGAAACCATAATAATACACAAGTCATGCATTTAATGTATATATAATCAAATGGCCATATTTCAATACAATGAACAAAAAAACACATGCACCAGTAGTTCATTGATTTCAAATTGTAGACATCAAATGTCTATAATATGTGTGGATTTTTAGATTGTTTAGAAAAAACAAAACGTAGTTAGTTAATTTTTCTCTTTTTTTTTTTTTTTCTCCATTTATTATTATGAGCTTGTCGAATATAAATGCATATCATGAATAATTAATAAACTACATGCGCGTTAACGATAAAGAATAAATGTATATCCATATAAACAGTAGTATACGATTAAAATACAAACGTGTTTTTCAATAGATTTTTCTTTTTAATCAATATTTCTTATTCTAGTTAGTCTAGAACTTTTTTTGTGTATTTTATACATGACTAAAAAATTTTTCCTTCCTTTTATTCTAATGGTGATGTTACCTCTTTGATTAAAAGATTATAAAGTCATTTCATAATTATTCGAGACAAAAAATTAAAAACGTATCAAAAGTTGCAAAAATTAATTAAAAATTTTGTTTTTATTAACGAAATATATTTAGAATTTGATTAAAATTCAAAAATTAAGATACAACAATTTGTTTTTATAGTAGAATTAGAAAATAGACATATTTTATAGAAAGAGTAGGAGATACATTTGTTATCACCATCATTTTGTTATTTTTCCATACAATAGATCCGCTAATAGTCAACAAGATATATTCTTCTTTTTTCCATTTAACATGTTCCAAATTTTATAATTATTTGAAGATAGGATGTTGTTACGTGTATTAGAACAAAACGACAAGCAGAAAATAATCTATAATAATGATTATTATTAAGACAGAATTTTATATTTATTTTTATATAATTGAGAAAGACGAAGCACTACTTTGAACGCCATTTGAAGGTTGCATAGTATCGCGTTTCATATAATCGACAAGAAACTAGGCGAGACACAAAAAAAGCAAACGAATATATAGACTGAAAATAAATCATGTTTTTTTTTTCAAGGATAAATAAATGAAATTATTGCTTAACAAATTTTTTAGCTAAAATTAACTTGTCGATATTTTCTTTTAAAATTTGAACTAGATTTATCAATTATTCGACTATATTTTTCTGCTAGAATATTCAATTTATCAAAAAACGAGATCAACAGACTATGTTACAATGTTAAAATCAAACTGGAAGATATTCAACGACAAATCTAGACAATATTTAACAATTCACTATTCATGCGCGATTACATCACATATGAATATAAAAAATGCATTTGCCACGTTCATATATGTTTCCTCTGAGAATAGAGACACGATAAAAACAAGGAAAAAGAAAGAGGAAAACTTCTTTTTTTATCTTCTTGTTTTTTATGTTATAAAATTTAAATAGTTATCCTCTAGTCATAATTGATTGAAAATTGAAATTATAAAGTTGCTTTGCCTCCTCAACATGAATAATTAGATAAAACGAAAAAAAAAAAAAAGAAGTATATATTATTCTTGACTTACACAGTCATTTGTTTTTGTTATTGAATCTTGACGTCGAAATGATGGTAGAAGGTTAAACAATGATCGACATTGTTCAGCAGATTTTATCGATGAATTCAATTTATTATGATGTTTTGGCTGTTGTTGATTGTATACTCTAGTTGTTTTTCGATTATATTTTTGTTGTTGTGGATGATGATGAACGATCGTTGACGATGAATATTTCTTTTTTGATGATTCAGTAGTATGAGAAAAAGAATTTTCTCCATGAGATTGTAAATCAATCTGTGATACGGCTGTCTGGTGATGATGAGATGATTCATCTTTATAAACTGAAAATAAAAAAAGTAAGAGAACAATATGATTAGCTTAACAAATAGTATCAATATTACAGTAGCATTAGATTAAACATAAAAATAAAATTCAGATATAAATGATCATTGAAATTCATTTAAAGATGAAAACAAAAATCTATTGACTTGAAGATCGATTAATGAGCCTAGAATTTATATCTGGTATATGCTTTATATTTTTACATTTTAATTATGTTTTTCGAATTAGAGACAATCATTGAACATAACAGAATTTCGTTTAAAAAAAAAGTTTGTCTTTTCTTTGCCAACTATGATGTGTTCATTGTATTATTAACAAAATGTGACGATAGAAAAGTTTGACATTATCGTCGAGAAATACTGCTTACATATACACTGTATGATTTCCTTTCTGTCTATAATCAACATGAATTATATGTTTCTTGCACACTTTCTCTCTTTGTTTTAAATGTACTCGAGAGTAAAATGTTCATAAATCAAAATAAAGAAGATGCTTTATTGCATGCAAATTACATAATTTAGAATGTCATTAAAAAAAACTCAACAACTATTCTTCATAAAATTTTAGAACAAGTATCAATGAGCATTCTTAAAGACAAAAAAAAAAGAAGAAAAAAAAAGCTTCATTTACTGCTTTCATTTACATAATATTTTTCGTTTAAGACCTTTAGATTGATCATGTGTCTACCTGATATCATTTAAAGATAGTAATTGTTCATAAAATATAATTTTCTGTACATAGAAATAGTGTATGGGTGTATTTACAATTTGTCGATATAGTGCAAAAACTCTATGAAGGGTTGAAAGAGAAATTCGTTTCATAAATTAGCAAAAATTTCATATATTACATATGTATACATAAACTTCTTTTTTATTGTCTCATAATCGTCGATACATGTGATAATCATAGAATGGGTTATGTTTTATGTCAATAGGAAAATAGGCATCTGGATATTAAAATGAGAGAAAATAAACAGCAGCAACTTGTGGGTCACCCTAAATCAGAGGAATCACGTAATTACAACTAAGCTATGATTATCGATTATAGCTAATCTACTAATCTTAAAATCCGAAAAAATTAATCCATGTTATCAGTCGAACGATTCCAACTGATTTTAAGATAGACAAGATCGAACTAATGCATTATACATGATAAACTCACCATGTTTGTATAGAACTTCTTTGATTTTTCGCCACATTTTTTAATTGAATTGAATTTCTGTTCCACTAATTATACCAAATAGGCTTAATATTTTTTTCTCCATTTTTACTATTTTACTTTATTACACATGTCATTCTTTTGACTAAACAGCATATGATGCTGATCGTTTTTTATTCAATATGCACGAGAGTGAGAGAGAGAGAAGCAGAATAATTTCGGCATAAAATCGAGTAGAGAGGAGGGGAGGCATGAAGCGGCTTACGTTATGAAGATAATACGAGAAAGAAAAAAGAATAGAAGCCTCCAAATAAGAGAAAGATAGCAAAAGAATCTGTTTTTACAATTTTTTTATAAAATAATTCAACTATAAAACAAAGAGTTGTTGATACACAGTATTACGTTGACAACATCATCTATAAAGACAAAAACAAAAAACAACATACATACAAGAAAAATATTTTTAATCGTGATTTATTCAAACAATTTCTTGAAAAATGTGACTTCTTAGACGCTTCTATGAATAATTCTGACAGAGATAAGGCAATTACTTTGATACATTTTCAATAACTTACGTCGTTAGAAGATCCGTTAAAGAGTTCAGCCACTAACTTTTCAATGTCATTCGATTCACGCTTATTAGGCTATATCCTTGAATATGAATCTGCATATCAGATGTTCATCTTGTTTTTAATCTACTTGTACATCATCTGATATCCGCAAAATAGGTGTAAAACTTATATTATGTATTACATTTCTCCTATCTGATGAAAATTATCTTTAGATTGAACCTCTATTCACCACAATATTTAACTAAGGATCTGATAGCTTATATATATATTGTATGTACAGTTGCTAAAGACTATTACAAAACACAATAAACAGGTAATGCTATTAATATCATATGAAAAAAAAAAGTTTTGAAGGATTTCTTCTCATCAATCTGAAGGTGAAAAAGCGAGAAGAGAATAAGAAACCTCGTAGCATTCATGAATATTATTAATACACATTAATTAGACATGCTAATTGTTTTCCTACATTTATTCATTGCTTATCTGTCTTCCTCGTACATCTAACACAGCAGGAAACAGTCAACATAAAGATATTATTGACGAGCTATTGTCAGTCTATTCATGTCAATTAGAAAAAATAAAGTGAAAATTCAGTATCATGCTGATCGGGAAGATGAAGGTTCGACGCATAGCGTACAGCAATGCATGCAGCAGAATGAATTATTAAATTCATCTTGGAGCCATAAAACAATATTCTCTTGTTTCTACACTCAAAATCGAACATCGTCTAGAATTGAAGTAACACTTGCCTCAGAGTAGATTTATCAAATAGAGAAACAAAAATATATTCACTTAGTTTCTGGAAAGATGAATAATTACAATAGTTTTGGTTATACAATTTAAGCGTAAGCAATTTTTAATGAATCGACAACATTCTCTCTTATATATAGTAAAGTTCAAGTTATATGCCAAAAAAATTTGTGTAAATTGAAGGAAAAAAGAAGAGAAGAGAGAGAAGAAAAAAGAAAAGAGAAAAACTTACGATTGCCGCACCATTTGTATTTATCTGCTCTTTACTCTTTTTGTTCATATATAGCTTGTCTATATAACCTATTTTTTCTTTGAAAATTTAATTTCCGGTCATTCTTTTTTTCCTTTTCCGATAGCTCACCTGAGAATGAATTCACCTCCTGTTCTATGGCGTGCAGACGGTCGAACATTCTCTTTCCGCACATTAGATATTTATAGTTTTCTTTTATTATTTTACTTTAAAAATCTTACTCATAGGTTTATTAACGTTACAGATTTTTCTCTAATAAAGAGAACAATTTTTTATACACTCTGTTGTCTTTTTCTATATATAGACGAAGAAATCATGTATGAATTTGATATAGCGGTCAAACATCTACAGTAGCATTTATTATTTTCTTTGTATTTTGCCCTTTTTAATATGCAGCACTCGTGCTTCTTCTGTTAATCAAAACATATAGAGAAAATGATTGTTACCATCGTTAAAATATATATAACCAATAACTTGAACATATTCTTGTATGCGTATGTGTTCTTAGTTTATTCATAGCACATCAAACTAATTGTATCATATTTTAGTAGTGGATCTTTCTTTTACCAAAACGATCAGTACAATTTCTCATACCTATATGTATCAATGTAACATCACAGTAAAAATATAATGAATAAGTCAAAACATTTTTTTTTTGACGAATGACATGACAACGTAAATAAATGATTTACTATTATTGTAAACGGAAAAACATCTCTATCCATTTTCAGATTGATTCATGCAATTGTAAGTATTCACATGCAATAGGCAGAATTTTTATCCAAAATGAGTTGAATTGATTCATACACGGATATCCTGAAAATTTCTTCATATATACGTTCATTCTTGAATTTGCATATTATTATTCAAAGTTCTTTCCATTACTTAGAGTTTTTAAATTCAAATGAAAATTTAGGCTTTTCTTTTTTTTTATACAAATAAATTTATTTATGAGATGGAGAGAGAGAAAGGAGAGAGTATCGACTTTTGTCTGTCCTTTCTAACAATGTCAAGGCTTAATATTATTATATACACGCACACTCAACTGATGAATCAAAAACCCATAATCATGATCAAATATTCATTCAAAAGAAGAATTAGAGCAGCAGAAAAGCCGTAAATTCATAATAATTTTTGACACTATCTCAATCCAAATCTGTCAAAACTCATAGCTCAAGCATCAATATAATACTGAACAAAGGTAAAAAGTTTCTTTTCAACCTGTCACCCCATAGGTATAGACACTGAGATTGAGTTTTTTTTTTTATTCCTAGATTTTGATTAAGTCGCTTACAATTGTATATATGTATCAAAATGTTCTAAAATTTTGTGATAATTGTCTTCTATAATGTTTTTCTTATTGAATAAGACTTTGCAAGATAAAAGTAGAAACAAACCTGAAGTCTCTTTAGAATTTTTGTGCGAATAGATGCAATACTATACTTGTTTTTATTCGAAATATTTTTACTTAGTGTAAAATCTAAGTAAAACCTTGTACATTTAGTGCCTCTTTAATGTAATAATGAAACAAATTTACCTCATTCAAAAGAAAATTGAGATTAATTACAAATATAGAACCAGAAGACAATCGGCCGTCCTTCTCATTTTCTTCTTGTTTTTTGGTTTTTACTAGTAAATCAACAATTGCGAATGTGTTCAGAAGTTGAATAGTCCCGTTACTTTCTTCTCTCACTCGACTTTAACTCATTACGGCTTCTCTTATTTAATAGGCGTCTTTTCATTTCTTCATCTATGTCGTTGGGCGATGTGTAAAAAAATGAAGTTTTAGGGAATTTAGAGAAAAGTTGAGACTGGAAACTATGTTTCTTCTACAAAGTCTTTAAAATCACATACATTATCATTAATAATAATTACGATTCTTGTCTAGTATCATATTTCATCGTTATTATTTAACTATAAAAAAAGTAATGAATTTTGAATGCAAATCAATCATTGTATTTGATATCTGTTTCTATTATTTTTTTTCTAGTAGAATTCTAATCACCTATTCTGTTTGCTTGCTTTTCTTTTCTTTTCTCCTTTATATGTGTATAATCAAAATCTTATAAATTATCGTGGATTAAAACCGAAGAATGGAACAAATATATTTTGGCAAAAGTACTATTTGTTTTTGTAGATCTTGAGATTATTTTCATTTTGAACGAAAAAACAATTGAATTTTATGGGAAATGTTATATTCTTGTTTATAGTACGAGAATTTTATTGCTGACAGGGCTGTGCTTTGTAAAATTACTAGTTGTAGAAGAAGGCCACATCATTCTAAATCAATAAGCAAACTCGAAAACAACTAAGAAAGCATCCTCAAGAAAACAATTGAAAAAAAATCTTAGTACAAATCGGTTCTATTATTGTTCGCGATTGACTGGGTTAAAGTACAGAGGTAATATTTGTCGGTGAATAACGTAGCTCAGCGCCATTTTTAACTACTCCAAAGTCACACTTCAGAAATTAAAGATAGTTGGAATGAAGAGAAAGGTTTTTGATTGGTTTAGGTTGTATCTGTCCGACCGATCACAATTTGTAAAAATTGATGATGTAACATCTTCTATTTCAACGGTCCCATCTGAAGCACCGAAATTCCATTCTGGGACCGTTACTCTTTTTTTAACATTTATCAATGACCTGTCTTTAGTAGCCTCCACCACTGCCTTATACAATCGGACTTTTCGAGACACTTCACCAGCTCTACGACTTCAGTTATACTTAATATGCATTCTTCCAAATATCGACTATGCTTGCTCAACATATGACTCGGGTTTTGTTACTCATATTAAACCCCTAGAACCAGTTCAACATCTAGCATCTAGAATTATTTCCGGTCGTTTTAATTACCAATATGAGAGGTGAGAGATTGTACAGCAGCTCGGGCTTCCAAACCTGAAGGTTAGATACAGTTATTTTCGCCTCAAAAACTACAATCGCATTTTAAATAATTATTCCTTCTTGGGAGATTTGATTTAGTAGAGTCCCGAAGTAATCGTCGCTCTCAACGCAATCATAATCACTGGTGGCGATCTGTCAAAATCCCTTTCACTGAGTTTGAAACGGTTAAAACTTCCTTCTTCTGGCAGACACCTAACGACTGGAATAACTTACTCACAGAAGATTTAGTTTCCGCTCTACACCTTCGAGCTTTCAAAATGGGCTTACGAGCTTTCTTAAATTGCTAATATTTGTATATGTATATTAATACATCTTTGTTGTCTTATTACTATACGTTATATTTTTTGTTTCACAGGATGGGCATGTTGGTAGGCTATGGTAAACAGTGTTCTCTAACTCTGATGATGCTCACCCACTTTAAATAGCTAAAATTACTTTTTTTCTTATTTTTTTCATGTGTCATTAAATTTTACTTTATAAATAAACCAGAACCAGTTACATGCTTTTAATCAGAACCGAGATATCTACAGAAAACAGGTAATCTCTAGAACAATGTGATCTCATACTCTCTGTATAAAAGAAACTTGAAACTTTAAAAAATATTAGATCCACTTTTCAGTGTTTACATTTGCCCGCTGTTGTTGGTCATTTGTATCGTTTAAGTGTAGATGCTAAATACTGTTCGACTGCGTCAAACGGATCATTAAGGGTACCCTCCTTCACTTTAGACTTTCCGCAGAAATGCTGTGAAATAAAAACTAAAACTCACTAAGGCTTCATGTTTTCAGAACTGATTGGAAACTCAATGGACTAATGTTGGAAATGTCAATGGACTAATGACTGATGGACTAATGTTTTCAAACGTTTTCGGTTGTGTTTCAAGTTTTTAACTATTGCCGTTCACCAGTTTCCAGAAAACTCGATTTTCCATTGTGACATATTACGACCCTCCCTTAAATTTCATCTGATCGAGTTCAAAATTTTACCAGGGGTACTCAAGGTCACAACGCAGAGATATAATTTTGGAATTTTCTTATAGACCTTTCTTTGCCGAGTTATAAGAAAAATACCAAAAAACTTTCAAAAACCAAGTTTTTAAATTTTAGAAACCCTGTAACTCGGTAAAGAAAGGTCTACAAGAAAATTCCAAAATTATATCTCTGCGTTGTGACCTTGAGTACCTCTGGTAAAATTTTGAACTCGATCAGATGAAATTTAAGGGGGGTGTAGTGCGCACAGTTGTGCCCCGAATTCAACTTTCACTACAAAGCAGCCCAGTTCTTGATCCTGACAACAACATATGATTATGAATTATTACTGTTATTATATAAAAAAAAGAAAACAAATCGTTTGTTGAACAATGCGGTAAGTAGAAATATGAGTCAATAGTTCGTTGTTTGTCAATAGTATTGATGTTGACGATGAGAAAATAATCCAATGATTTAGTCCAAAAGTATCAATAGTGAGACTGAACAATTCAGAATCATGTATGATGATTAAAAAGGGACGTTCAGTAACTTATATAAATCTACGAATATTTAGTAAAGGAGGGTAAACAAAAGTTGTTCGAAAAACGTTATGCTTCACTCTCACTAACGTGAAAAGCTTTATAATGATGGCAATTGACAGCAAATTGAGAGAATTACTTGATAAACATACAGAAAGAAATGATGTCCAACTGGCCATTAAATGCGACAGAGCTGTTAAGACAACTCCAGCCAAAAAATGATATTTATGATACGTACTGCGTTTGTACTATTTCTATCATGTAATAATCTTTTTATTTTTGTTTTTATTTGCAGCAACTGATGACCCTGAAAGGTCCTATCAGTACAGCATCCAACCCAAATATATAAAAAAGAATGAGAATTAATAAACCAATACAACAAAATCTTCACATCGATATAGAATTTTACAATAATATAAAGTAAAAAACCTTAATTTTTTAATTTATCAATTTTTTTCATATATCTTGCATATACTTTTAATAACAAATAATTTATTTAATGTATCCTATGCATGCATGTACGGGAGAAATCGAGGTAGGACGAAATAAGAATAAAAAATTTATAAGAGACAAATCGAGACTAAACCTTCTTTTTCATCTCATTTTTCTTCCATGAGATGAAAGCGAGATATAAATTCAACTTAAAATAGCATGTACTTATTCTTTTTTTCTTTGCATGTTCACATATTCTAATATTCATAATAAACTTGCGCTAATCTTCATCGCTCTTACCCTCTTGATATATCGATCATCATTGACAGATATGAAAAAGAAAAGGACGTCTACTGTTTATTGTTGTTGTATAGAGCTATTATTATTTGAAAACCTCAAGAGGAATTGGTTCACCTTAAGATAGTCACCTTAAGGGTACTGACTATCTTACACTATTTAGATTCACATATAAAAAAATATGAGAAGTATCATTAAATAATTTTTGGTATTGAAATAGCAAAAACAAATAGTAAACTGTCACCTGTCTTCAGTGTACAACTAAACACATGCAAAAGAAACATTCAATAGGACTATAAACTGATTACAAAGTTTTCTTCACACATTGACACAAAAATTCCTCTCAAATTTTTTAAAAATAACGCTAAGGATCAGTCCAGACAAATGAACACAGTCTATCGAAAACGATGCATTAAGATATAAGATTAACTATTCTATGATTCGGACTGCTCTGGGACAATCCAGAAATATGTACTTTTACTTCTTAATGTCAGAAAACTTCATTAACAACATTCTTCTGTAACAAAATATTTTCTGAAAATTCAGACTCGTACTATTGTATATTCTCCAGCCTATCAGACAAACTTATTACTTCCTAAACTTATCCTCGAGTCTGAGTAGAAGGAAAGCATCATGAAGGTCCACAGTCAAGCAGCGAAAAAGCCAAAATCATTCTTAGTCATCTATAAAAACCATTAATACATTCCCATGATGTATCAGAAAACAAACAGTAAACTGTCGATAATACATGGAGGTGGAGCCATATATATGTCCTGAAAATTTTCATTTTCAAATAGAAAAAGAGAGAAAATTGTGAACGATGTATTTCAAAATAGCGTAAGAGCGCTGAAGTTTTACGAACTGGGCATTAGTCATCGCCCCGAAAGCTAGTCGAGCATCCAGGAAGAATCCCAGGTATTTAAAATTTTTCTTCTGCGTTATTTGTGCTCTTTGATACAAGATATGTAGTTTTGGACATTGCCTTCTTTAGTGGTAGAATCATCATGGACCCGATGGGCTCTAGTGTGCTGTCTGTAAGTGTCTGCATGTTTTACTATTACCCCAAATAAATACAGCAGCCTTAAAATGTCGACGTGCAGATGACCATCGTCTGATATCCGAAAATTCTGTACAAAATCAAAATTATCAACAATATACACTCGTGGCCCGAGATACCCTCCTAAAAGAATCAATTTCATTCGACAATTGCCCGTTGTTGTCTGTAAAACAATCAACTATCCAGTCATGAGCGGACAATCTAACCGATATAGTTTCAAAATCAGCCCTTGTTGCCACAACTTATCAAATGCCTGTAAAAAATCAACGTAGACTACCGCACAGAACGTATTATTTTGTAATAACTGGGTGATTTGTTCTACCAGGAAATTTACTCGGGAAGTTATTGAGAGATGTGTTCTTGACCCCGATTGTTGAGCGAGTAATATTCATTTTATCCGTCCAATTATTAAACTTTATCAGGAACAGACGCTCATAAATTTTTCTAAATGCCGAAAGCAATGAAATTGGCCTTGGCTGATCTGTTATTGGAGCGAAACTGTCCACTTTATTGACACATATTGTTCTGACCTTCTTCCAGCTTCTGCCCAGGTAGGCTTTAGAAAACAAAGAATTATACGACAACGTGATGTCAATCAAGTACAGTTTCGGCAACAATTTCACAATACTATTAGAAACACCATCTACCTCCGATGAGTTTTTATTGTACAATCCGCGCACAATCTTTCTCAGATCCTGAACACTGAATTTCAAGCCAGAATTTCAACAATCCTACTCAACATTATCTGTATCGGGTCTATAGACTAATGTTAAAAAGAAAAATATTAAACGACTAATATTAAAAATCAATTAAATATTTTTTCACTGTATTTAAATATTAGTCCGTTCAATATCTTTCTTTATTTAAATATTTTGCCTTTGTTTTAAAGGGCATCCTTTCAGTTCGTCCGAAATTGGCTTTGTAAAATCAAACCAGTTAATCTTACCAGACATACAATGAATATTTACAAGGTGCACTGATATATCTTGATCTTGAAAATGAAAAAGATTCTGAATTAATACAACAAATTCGACAACATTTTGCTCGTTTTACTTATAAATTTATTAATCAAATACCTCGTAGGTGTTGTTTCATCAAACAATTTATTTTTATACTGTGTAAAAGAATGTTCATTGATGTTTAGGTACGGCTCGTGAAGCACTTATTCCACCTCACATAAGATAAGCTTATTTGAATTATTTCGAAAATGGAGTGGTAATTTCAATATTATGACAGTATTCGGTGCAACAAGGTATTAAAAGTTTTGACAGAGAAAGCGATAGTCTCACCTTCTGAAATTTTTCGTGAGAGTCATCCGCTTTTTAAAAAGTTTTTGTTTTAAATCGCTTTTCCTCTTTCAAAAAATGAGGAGATAAACAACTCGAAAATGTTTTTCAAACTGTTTCCGATGGATTTGTTTTCTAAGAATTCGTTCTTACTATCTAGAGAGTTGCTAGATCTGCGACTGACATGAAGTATTCTGTTTTTTATACTTTTAGAGCACAAAAGACTGAACCATGTTCTGAACTGGAATTAGTTTCTATTCAAGCTTGTGCAGCAACGCTTTGTTGTGGAACAATGGCCTTTGAATGGTTTCAGAAAACAGTGGTACCATGGTTAGATCAATTTATTGCTGCACACGAGGTAATTTAAAATTATCAATTAATCAGTATACCTTTTAAATAACATTAGTAAATTATGAAAGATCTCAATATGAGCTATTAAACTACCCGTCGTCATTCTATTTAAGATGTCAAGAAAATTTAGCGTAAGTGTGATTGTCTTGTCTTTGCTAACGTTAGTCATTTCATCCTTGTCACCCATGATCTTGTAGTTTATCTAATCCTTTGGAGTAAAAGACAATAAAGTTTTGTTATTTAAAAGATATTTTTCCAGCTAGCAGCTGGCATGAATAAAACACAAGATTTTTTTTGTTTTCTTTATAATGGCTTTGGTTAGTTTAAGTAGTGTTTTAAACAATGATGGGCTAAAATGATTGCTTTGATCAATAAAAGAGGTCTATTCAAAGGTCACGATTGAAATCCACTGCGACAACTCACTCTTAATTCGATCCACACCACAATGTTTTTGTATTGTATTCTGTGCTGGTGTTGTAAAAACTACGGTGCTTGTTTTTTGTTTTCTTATCTTGGTATCTGATTTTGTTCTCTGTCGTATTAAATTAATATTATTACTTTGAAGGATTATCATGATTCACTGATGAACAACTGATACTGCATTATCTAATCATAATCAACTTTCGCTGAATTAACGTTTTTTTACTTCATAAACAAAATAATTTGTATTGTATATTTAGACAAATCAATTGGCAATAAACACCGTCTTTCAATTACTTGAATTACATGGTGAAAATACTAATGCAATGGTTATTGATTATGTGACAGATCGATGTTACACAAAATTTGTACGCTTTAGTGATCGATGTTTTACAGCATTAGCAAAAATATTTATTGAAGTTGCCAAGTAAAAATACTTTCGATTTTATTTGATAGTAATTAAATATTCTATTTATCTTGTATTTTTTATTTCTAGTGATTATCCTTGTGATATAACTGCTGTTTTAATATTAACAATGTTGAATGTTGGCTCACCACGTATGCATATTCATGAATTAGCATTAAGATTAATGGTTGCATTATGCAAAGGTATATAATCTCGATAGTCTAGAGTTTATTGCAGTTAAAAAATCTATTTTTGGTATCATATAGATCATCTAATTGACATCCAGTCAACAACTGCAACAACAGGTTCAACCAGTTACAGATGACGTTGTATATATTTTATCATTGGCATCATCTTATTCAAAAAGTCAAATGTTATTAAATGAATATATGGCAAGGAGACGATCAGACTTAACTATAGAAACGTTTTCAGGTACATTGAAAATGATATTGTTATAAATTATTTAAATATATATTCAAAAAATTAATGTATGTGATACAATTTTTATCATTTAATTAATATTTATATTTTAGAGGTGACAACACGCGTATTAACTGCAACAGCAAGCTGTCGAAGCTCACTGTTAATGATTTTATTACTATGGGTATATAATATTGAATTGATTTGATTCATCATTACCAAAGTCAAATGGAAATGATAACAATTATTATGACAATGATCATGCTTTTCTTAAAGGTTCTGGATGGGTAGTGTACAAGCAACTGAACTAATTTTGAATAATCTATTTTATTGAACTGTTACAGTAAATATTTATTTATTTTTTCTCTTTTCTCTTTTTATTTTTATATTGTTCAATTTGATTTTAATACAGTTCGGAGCATGCCACCGAGTTAGAACTCTTATGGGATGCCTTACCAGCAACGTGGGCACATAATTTAAAAGTAATATTACGTTATACATTAATTATGGTCACATTATCCTCCTGTGAATTATTACCACACGCTAAAAAGGTAACATTGTACATATGTAAAAATAATGAAGAACGTTTATTAAACGAATTGATGAATGAATTACAACAAATGGAATCATTTAATGGTTCACTTGAACGAACAGATACATTACCATTTTATCGTTTTACAAACTCAAATAATACAACAACAAACAATACTACGACAAATCCAATGAATTCAATGTTATTAATTAAAAAATCGTCCTCGACATTTAAAGCACACGATGCGTCACAACAACAAACTTGTGGAGTTTTTCATAATAAACGACATCATAGTGGTGAAGATACGTCGGACACATTCCCAGGTCTAGCATTAAAAAGTAGAACATCATCACAAACAAGTTTAACCAGTTTTCATGATAAAATAACAGTACGAGACTCGTTCGATGGAGAAAAGGGTAAGATGAGTAAAGGAAAATTAGAGCAAATGAATCGATTTTGAAAGTTTTTTGATTTTAATTTTGATCTCATTAGATATTAGATAATCTATGTTCTTGTTTAGAATTTTCGATGATGCGTGTCGATGAAGTGCATCAACCAGCTCCACTACCATTGGCTCCTTATGGGGGTACTGCTGCACCATTTAAAACACTGCTACCAGAATTGTCAAGTCCAATTCCAGGTTTATTTCGATGTAGTACTGGCGTTATGCCCATTAATGAACTAATTGTTAGTGGATTACAGATCGATTGGTCAGCTCATTTACCGGAATTGTTACACATAGCTATGTTAGGTTGGTCTTGTTTTTTTTCCTTCTAATATTTATTGTTGCTATTCACTCATACCTTTTTATCTTAAAGGAATGGATCATAATCGTGCTATTGTTTATGAACATTGCAAAAGTCTTGTATTGAATTTATTATTGGCATTAAGTGTACAATCCCAACAAATGTCAAAAAGATAAATTTATCCAATATTTAATAAGAAAAAAGAAAGTCCATTGTGGGCTTATGAAGATATCACAGCAAAAGTACTCTCTAAAAAAAATCCGTAGCTTACTAAACGAATATCAGTTTTGGCATTTGCTCCTAATAGAAACCGATATCCGTATCGTACGATCCTGCGTAACCGTTTCGTAGAATACGTTTCAACGTTTTTTCTCTGGTACAAAACCTAAATCCGTTCCTTCACAAGGCAAAAAACGTCGAAGCGTATTCTGCGAAACGGTTACGCAGGATCGTACGACACGGATATCGGTTTCTATTAGGAGCAAATGCCAAAACCGCTATTCGTTTTGTAAGCTACGGATTTTTTTTAGAGAGTACATAAGCTACGAAGTGTCAAACAGTTACGACAATTTGTACAATGGATTGTTTATCTGTTTCGTTCATGTGTACCACAAGTAATGGTAGAAGAAAGATGGATGCAGTTAGCATTAAGAATTACATTAAGTTGTTCGAGTAGACATTATACTGGATGTTCATTACAAGTAAGAAGATTCAGTTTTTCACAGTACATGTTTCGGATAAATGAGAAAAAGTCATGAAAATATTTTGTCTATTCCTGCAGATTCAAGCAAAAAATGATTCCCATTTACTGTTGATTTTAGTATTTTATGCTATTTATCCTCTGTGAAAGTAGTTTTTCTCTAAACATTAGACCAATTTATTTTAAATGTTTTTTTCATTCCTAATTTTTAGATCATACGTCCATTAGGTTTACCAATGAGTTTTCGCTGGGTAATTGATATATTATCACGTTTAGTGAAAACAGTTGCTGAACCAGGTGATGATATGCAGGTTATGTAACAGAAATATTACTGGCATTAATGCAAAACATTGATTCATTAATAATGCAAATACGCGGCTTGGCAACATCCATATTTGCACAACAACGTTTATTACCACCAATGACTACTCAACAGTCTCATACTTCAATATTTCATGATTCCGGTGTGCCATCATTAACAACATCATCGTTATTAACAAGTAAAATTGAAGCATTACAGAATAAACTTTTGTGTACAGGAATACAGAATCGTTTTCAACCACAACGTCATTCTCGTCATCATCATTCGTTAGCTGAACGTGATACTCTATCAGTTGTTATTACAGGTGCAAGTTCGACTGGAGGTTCTTCTCTGTCACCTTATTTAATGACATCAGCAACAGCACCAACGAGTCCTCGTTCTATAACAACACCTACGACATTGTTAACCGACGGTTTATCTACCAAGGCCATAACAAATAGTCCATCAAGTAGGTTTTTAGTTCGTCCAGATCAAACTGGTGAACAATCTTTATATTTACGCTTTAGTCCAGATTCTGACCGCATTTTTCCATCTACTACTTCAACTTTGACACGTTCAAAAAGTGCACATTCTCTTCGACAACAGCAACAACAAGCAACATTATTAACAAATCCAAATGATTCAGGTGTATTAGCAGTATGTAATGAAGCGCATGCCTTGGCGACAACAATCGACGAGGCAAAAACTGTATTGGCACAAATATTTTGGATTGGTATTTGTTTGTTAGAATCAGATTATGAATATGAATTTTCATTGACTGTTCAATTATTAGAAACAATAGTGGTTAAAGTAACACTCGATACACCAGATTATATTGAAAGAATTATGGATATTCATAGAAGTATGAAATGGCAAACGTTTCCTGGATTTCAAGCGCTCTTATTGAAAGGTTGCACATCAACAATAACATATGAATTCAATCTAATCTAATTCATGAATATGCATACGTGATGAGCCAACATTCAACATTGTTAATGTTAAAACAGCAGTTATATCACAAGGATAATCACTAGAAATAAAAAATACAAGGTAAATAGAAAATTTTAATTACTATCAAATAAAATCGAAAGTATTTTTACTTGGCAACTTCAATAAATATTGTTGGACGTTTAACCAACATCATTTCTTGCCCGTTTGTTTCTACCAATGCTGGATTAGGTAAAAGTTTTTTTCTATGGTGAAGATGTTTTAAGTGCAGAGAATTGCTAGTTCGCTTTTGAAATAGATTTTTACAAATGAAGAAGAGTATTGCTTCGAAAGACCACTAGTCTTTAAAGTCAAAGAATAAATTACAATGAAAAAATCTTTTTTTGTCAGAAACACTGTAATTTATATGTACTTTTTGATAATAACATTGGAGACCCAACTAAATCTGTGTTCTTGCATCAATTCCTAATACGATTATGAGTGATTAATTGCGACATCTAAACTGTTATGGGTGCATATTCCATATTTACAAAATGTGTATAAGTATCATCTTTTTCTAGCATTTGCTTTGAAATATATTACATTACCCTATATGGTTTATAATTATGCAAACCACCATTATGTTTGTATTGAAACAGCGAAAACAATCGCACATGTTTGTAATGAACAAGTTGATAGTATTAGATTACAAAATTTAGCTACGGTTATGCCATGTTAGTACTATACATTATAAAGATGTGATGAAAACATTAAAATTATTAGTGACAAGATCATCAACATTATCAACACCAAAGCATTTTACAAGCAATAATTGTTATAATCAACAACAAGTACGTTCAATTATGTCACAAGTAGAATTTTTTGAAGATACACCAAGAAGTATTGAACTACCAGGTATTTTTATTTTAAAATTTACATAACATATATATGAACTATTAATATTTCAAATTCTTTAGGTCGTACACTTGATATTGATTACAATCTAAGTCAATTAATGAATATTATAAAAACAAATAATTCAGTAAAACTATCAAATTCAGCTGTAACAACAGAAAATACAAATAACGATAATGAAGCATATTTTAATTTATCATCAACACTAAATCGTCGGCAATTCTCTAGTATCAGTCATACAACGTATCAAGAATCGTTAGCATCAAATAACGGTTGGAAAAAATATGCTGCTCAATCACAGGTTTGAGTTTAGAATTTTTCTATTTTGATTCAAATTTGAGATTTTAAACATGATTAAGTAGAAAGAATATAATTAAGTAGGTCTTTTAGGATTTTATATCAAGGAGTAGTCTAATCACATTCATTCTCTTCTTAACTGGTATGGAATGGGCTGAAAAAGTCCATTCCAGTCCATTCCGCTTTTTCCTCCTTGAGAGAGATGCTGACAGAAGAAATACATGTCAAGTGAATAATTGTACCAATTTTTCTACTAACCAGACGACCAGTTTACCCTCTAATTCTAACTTACCTAATGATAGCCTGCGAGACGTTCATAGTCAGATACACTGTGAAGTCGGGAATTATTTATAGAAAATTCTCAGCGAATTTCCAGATGATGTGGAAGAATAATTTGAGTGAGAATGCTGATAATCAGAGACTTGCAAAGTGAAGATGGCTGAAGATAAACTTTTTCACCTTTATTAAAAGCTATTGAACTTTGAAGTTGAGCGGGGTTTATTATTTCAGCTTATTGGATGACAATATGGATCGTTTACTAATGAAAACCAAATTTGACATCGATCACGTGCTGTACGACTGTTATTTTATTTAAAGTATAATAAAATAAATGTGAATTGTTAGGATTATGCCTTTGAGTTAATAGAGCCAAGTACATTTTTGGAAGATGCTAAGTTCAGACATAAAAATAAGGATTATTAGCAAGAGCGAATCGCTTTGCGATCGTCATAAAGTTGCGGTGGAACTCGACTTTGTCTTAACCAGGCAACCCAAGAACCTTTTCAGTACCTCTTTGTGATCTCCAAGTGTCACACAGCAACAATACTTCTCAAAGAATATGCTGATTTGTAAAAACTCAGAGAACTTTCCGTATCTACTAACATTTCGATGTTAAATACTAAAAGGAGCACAGATCTGTTACAGGACAACTTGTTGCAATGTATAGGCTTTAATAGATGTGAAAGAAGCAAGAAAAAAATCACCGATTCGTCTTCTTAGAAAATCGAATTCGATTTTTCAATTATTTAAAAAATCGCTATCGAATTTCAACAATGTTGGGATTTATTTATAGAAAATCGATTTTGATTTTCTAGAATCTGGAAAATTGAATCGATTTTCTACAATGTTGAAAATTATTCATAGAAAATCGCTGCCGGTTTTCCAACTTTTAGAAATTCCTTATCGATTTTCTGGCAAATGTGAAAAGTCAATTTATAGAAAATCGAGCGGATTTTTTATAAAGTAGAAATAATTTCAAATGACAGTGTATCTCGAACGAAAAAGCGTAAAGGTGGAGAATCACTGATGATTTCCTTTAAATTGGAAAATCGCCGGCGATTTTGTAGTTTATAGAAAATCAATCGAATTTCTATGAATAATTTCCAAGTATCTGGAAATTCGAGTTTGATTTTCTATAAACTAGAAAGTCCGCGGTGATTTTCTAGACAGTGGAAATTCGTCCAAGAATTTCTAGACCAAATACTTATTCATATTTTTGTTTTGCAATCAGTGTAGGTATAAGAGCGTCACGTAAAGACACTTATATTACACTTAAATCAACTTTGACAGTTTCAACTTTAGATCACAATTCTACCTATGCCAGCAAGAATTTTGATTTAGGCAGGATTTAGGATTTTCTAGATTGTTCGAAATTCGATTTTCTATAAACTGGAAAATCATCGGGGAATTCCCATATGTACTCTTTGAAAATCGCCGAACATTTTCCATATATAATTTCCAACCGTACAGTGTACGCTAAAAATAAGGAATATAGGTGAAATACTGTGAAATTTCAGTCTTTACTAGTTTCGAAATCAAGGTATAACGAAAAAAAATTATTCCGAACACGTTGTCATGCATGAAAGTGGAATCGAAATATATGCTCTTGTGCTTCGAAGTGTCTTTCTTTTCGTGTGTCATGTATTCGCTTTAAATGTTTTTTTCTGACACCGAAAGCGATTTTATTAAAACTCACCGAGAAAGAGAAAATTTGACTGCTTCGCGCTACTACAGAAAAAGAAATGAAACTATTAGACTTTCTCTTTTAGGGAGTACCAGAGGAACTATTTTGATTTAGAATAAAATAAATCCAACTTCAAAATATTGGATTTTAGCTGAGTTATAAAGAATTTTCTATATGCCTCAAACATGCAGGTTGAAAATGATAATTTTTAGCGAAATCGATAGAAAGAAAAAGCATTCTTCTTCGATCACTTGTGATTATAGGAATTTTAAATATGGTAAGTTGATAGAGCTTTTCAACAGCGACAAAATCGCCATCTTCTCGTTTTAAGTTTCATAAAATATAAAGGACTGAAACTTAAACAGCCGTCTTTTGGATTGGAAAGTAATGAAGATAGAAATTTCACAGTATTTCACCTATATTCCTTACTTTTAGCGTATGTAAAAAATTGTTTAATATATTTTTTGTAGAGAATAAAATGGCGAACCTTTAAAAGAAGAAATAACTTTGTATCTTTACAGAAAAAAAAGTTATAGTCGAAATACTCAGAGATTCATTTCTTCTGAAACACCCGATAGTTTCGAAAAATACACTCTTAAAACCCAAGGTTTCCGGAAAAAAATAATAAAAATACCACTTTCGTACGGTACGAAATCAAAACGATTTAGTAAAATACGAACGAAAAAAAGAAATAATTCTATTCAGTATTTGAAAATACCAGATATGATTTTTTTCTGGAGAAAAAACCCTTTTTTGGTACTGTAAAATACCAGCTTTCCGCTATAAAACGGTTGATAACCTACAAATCTAAACCTTTTTCAGTTTCCAAAAGGCCGTATCCTAAGAAACCATGTTGGTATCTCAAGATGCCATTTGATATTTCAGAGCGAACCAAATACCCTATGGTATTTTACCATTAATACGAAACTAATTAGGTTCTGTAGGATATCTCTTACGGGTACTTTAGTAAATCCTTTCAAAAGACTAACGTGTGCGAACGCGTTCAAATTTAGCGCGTTTCGATGCGTTAATGTACTTCAACTGCTGCTAAACGCGCCAGATTCTAACGCATTTGTACATGATAAGCAGCGAATGCATTCATTCATGTAAGAAAACTG